TGGAAATTCGCCAAGTGGTCACTCGATTTTTTACAATGACGAAAAAATCTTTAATATGAATTGGAATAGGTAGTCTTAAACATCCTCTAAAGGGTTTACGGAGTCGTTTTTGGAAAACATTTTTTATTTTTATTTTATTTGCAACTAAAAAATATAGTTAATTTTTCTTTTTACATTAATTACACAAAAACTATTAAATCAAATGACATGAAACTTTCAGGGTTTGCTGAGAAATTAATGAAGTTTGAGAAAATAAAATGTTCAATGCCGGCAAATATTATTTTATTATTTTTTTTTTAACAGTTGTTAAAAACAAGTGGTTTTTGTAAATGTTCTCAATTGCTTAAAAACAAAATTTTTACTCTTTTATGCTTCTTATGTAAATTGTATTCAAATCGTGAAAAAAAATCTTTGGGATCTTATTTGAGTTTGAAAATATTCGAAGTTCTGTCGCGCGACTCACATCTCACCTCACGACATCGCGACATCGCACACCCCTCCTCAACGATAAGCTTGTTCTTGCCAACAAAAAATAAAAAAGTTAATTGGCGTATAGTTGTTTTTTTTTTTGAATATATCAAACATTAATTACATTCTTACATATACTTTCCTTGTAGCGCTCCGATATGTATTTGCATATGTAAATGCTACTTTTCTGGTGCGTTCTAATAAATATATGGTACATACGAGTAGATACAAAAAAGTAGCATTTACATATGGGTGTTTCCATGAAAATGTCAACCAGGACTGAAAAAATAAAAACAACTGAAAAGGGTTTTTAAGACGAATTAATAAGAGTAAAATACTCGAATTTTTATATTATAGAAGTATTTCAGCTTATTGCAATTTTAAAACTCAAAAATTGAAGAGTAAAACTGAGTGTCTCTTCGACTCAGTTTTCTCTAATGAAATGAACTATTTTCTCTTTTCTATTAACTAAATTAAGAGATTTGAAACATTACAATTACATCTTAAAATCAAATTTGCAATAACAACTAACTATAAAAATGAGAAAAAGGAGAAGTTAAAGCTCGGTTAACGGTAATTTTTTGATTTCCTTTTGATAGTATTCTAATGTCGCGTACGTTATGCAAAAACATTGTTTGTCTATGTCATTTGTATATTGGCAGTCGCAGGTAATGCAGATTACAATTCTTAAGCGAGAATTCTTCCAGTTAAAGATATACAGTAAAATTTTCTTTCCAACCGAAGTAAAACAAATTTTATTACCCTCTAAAGTTTGTCGCATACGTTATTGTAAGTACGAAAATTTCAATCAAATACATCAAAACCAATGTTAATTGCAAATTTTCCATTTAAATTATTTAGAATAGTTGTAAAACAATGAAACGGTGGCGGGAAGAGTTCTCAATAAATACATTTTATTACTTATGAGAAAAATTTTCGCGTACGTTATGTCGCGTACGTTATTGTTTTTTTTTAATATAAAACTAGCCAGAGATAATTTCTCTTAAAATATGAAAGGATTGTAAAGGTACATTATTTAGCTTAGTTTAGGAATTTTTAAAGAAAAGAAAAACTCCCATGATTCGCAGACTTTCGCATATATGCGTGTTTCCATGAAAATGTAAACCGAAAATGCAAGCAAATGAATTCAAACGGCTTTATAACTTTAATTCAGATGGCGGAAAAAAGGTTTTGAAAACGCGAAACGGTGGAGAGAACTGAAAAAATTTAATTTAGTATGTGTTACTAGTAAAAATATTGTATGGGGGAAAAATCTGTCGCGAACGTTATGTCGCGGACGTTATTATAATTTTTTTTAATAAAAACTATCCAGAGATAATTTTTATCAAAAAATGGAAGGATTGTAAAGGTACATTATTTAGCTTAGTTTAGGAATTTTTAAAGAAAAGAAAAACTCTCATGATTCGCAGACTTTCGCATATATGTATATGTGCCTTAAAACCACTTCTTTTTTTGTCGCGTACGTTATCACCTGGTTTTGAACGGATATTTTCCACACCAAAGTTTCGAGGCTGCTTATTTTTTTCTCAAACATAGTACCCTTTGGTTGCAACATAACCGTAATCTTTTTTTTCAGTAACTTCTATTTTTGATAGATTTACGTTACTCTATAAGCGTACCAATGTCGCGTACTGCTGTATGGAAACACACATATGCAAATACACGTCGTGTAAGAGTGCTGTTAACAAATAATCACATTTTCGCGTCTCGACACGTTCGCTGCCGTCTCCGAGGCACCGGCGCGCGTATACGCATCGTTCTACTTTTCAACATGCTTAGTCACATTCGTTTGTTTTTTGATGGTTCGGTCGTCACGAAAATTTCGGTCTTCAATACTTTTTAAGTTTTTGTATATAATAACAATTAAGTGATCGCGAAAACTGGAAAGTGGTTCGAGCAACTTTGTGCTGCAATCCGCACAAGAAAAAAAATCATAAATTTGTCACGAAGAATTTATTTCTTATTGGTAAAAAGTGCAAAGAGAAATTTAAAAACTTCATTGGATTACACATGTGCGATTCTTGTCGAAGAAAAGTTAACAGTCTTGAGAAAGCAATTAATGATATTCCGGAAAAAAGTGTGTCAACTGTGGATATTGATATAGAAAAGCAAGAATGATTTTTCAACCACGATAACGAAAAATCAGATCCAACTTTTTATTGCAGTGAAGTGGATGATGCTTGGAAAATTAATGATGTTTTACAAGAATTTGGCGAACCACCAATACAAAAAAAAACGCGTTTCCCAACTGTCTCAAGAAGAACGCCTCACGATAAATCGTAAGATTTCCAAATTAACAAATAATCGACAGAACGATGATGAAAAACATGAGAAAGTGTATGTCGATGGGATCAGAAATGCTCTTTTAAAGCGAACGACAAGAAAGGAGAAAATCGAAGTTTTGACAACTTTGCCACCACAAACTTCCTTTGTCGACAATCGAAAAAGTAAAAAACTTCTATTTAACCGAAGATGTTAGTAGAGTTATGCCCGGAATTCATGACTGTAAGTCTATTCGTGACGATGGTGAACGTGTGAAAGTGCAAAAAAGATTGTTGTTATTAAATCTATGTGATTTGCACAAAAAGTTTGAAGCACAATTTCCTGAAACGAAAATTTGTCTTTCTAAATTTCGTAAACTTCGCCCCAAAGAGTGTATTTTGCCAAACCATAATGGCTCGCACAACGTCTGTGTCTGCAAAATTCATGAGAATATGAATTTAAAAGTACAAGCAATTAAGAAAACTTTGAAAAAAAAGGAGTTGATTTCATGCAAGCTCGCCGTGATTTAATAAAAGATTCAGTTTGCGGAAACCCGACAGCAAAATGTTATTTCTCTGATTGTGAAATCTGCCCTGGAACAGATGCTGTTATCGAAAATTTGTGAGGTTGTTTTAAGGAGCATGATGTGAAAAACATAACTTTCAGCCACTGGACCACTACCGACAGGTCTGCATTTTATGAAGTACTTTTAGTAAAATCTAGTGAATTTTATGCAAAAAAATTTGAAAAAAAAATATATATTATTTGATAATATTTTTTTACAGATGCGAGATTATCGAATTATCACACTTCACAAAAGAGTTTCTGAAAACGTTTATAACTGAATTGCCTATTTTACTGAAGCATGATTTTTTGGCTAAATCACAATCTGCATATTTCAACAAAATGAAAGACACGGTGAGAACGAATTTATAGTATGTTTGGATTTCGCTGAGAATTTTACGTTTCACGTTNTATCGAATTATCACACTTCACAAAAGAGTTTCTGAAAACGTTTATAACTGAATTGCCTATTTTACTGAAGCATGATTTTTTGGCTAAATCACAATCTGCATATTTCAACAAAATGAAAGACACGGTGAGAACGAATTTATAGTATGTTTGGATTTCGCTGAGAATTATACGTTTCACGTACAAAACGCAATTCAATCTCACCACTGGGCGAACAAACAAGCCACTCTTCATCCTTACGTTACGTATTACCGCGAAAATGGAATACAAAAGCATTTGAGTTTTGTTGTCTTATCTGAAAAGTTGGTGCACGAGTCAGTACATTTGTTTAATTCTAAACTCGTCAAACACTTAAGATCAAAATTTGGCGCGGAAAATATAAAAAATAATAATTTATTTCTCGGATGGCTGTGGAGCGCAATATAAAAATAAATTCAACTTTATTAATCAGGGCTATCACGGAATCCATCGTAGAAAATCTACGAATTCAAATGCCCGCTACGAATACGAAAAAATTGCTATCACTGAATCCGAGTGAACTCGAAAATATCGTTGCCAGCTTCGAATGCTGATTCGAAATCAGTTAGTGCAAAGGAAACAACAGACATTTATGTATGTCATTTTGCTCACGCTGCCCAATCAGGCGCAATGGGAGAGTTTGCAAGGCACTAGACTGCCAATTGAGAGAGCCGAGTTCGAGTCCGAGTCGTGGGGCAGTGGAGATTTGTTTATTTTTTTATTTAGCTTTTGTTTATTTTTTTAATAAATATATTTTTTTTAAGTTTATTTTTAGTAGATTTTATTGTTTTAAATAGAAAAAATTTTTTTTTTTAAATTAATTTTTATGATATTAAAGTAATTAGGTTTATTTCCTAATAAATTGTTGCTAAACTATTATTTCCTCGATTCATGCAAAATATTAATTCATTAAATAGCGTCTACCAGATGAATGCGTGTATGTACATACATATGTATGTATGTATAGCATTGGTATTTTACGTGTACGTTTACACAAATATATGGAATTATATCAAACTATAACAAATTTGGAGTATAATAAATATTTAATATTAAAAATAATACAGCTTTCGTCCACTATTTTTAAGACTGAATGATTTTAAATTTTGTTCCGACAGCATAATCTCGTCGTAGAATATCTGTACGAATCTTCATTACGAACGGATTCAATGAAGGCTCACTACGAATTTCGAATTTACGTTCGTAGCCATTCGGATTCCGTGATAGCACTTTCGTAGATTTCACGAAAATCGAAGCTACGATGGATTCTGTGATAGCCCTGAATATTCTTAATCATAAAAAAGATTTCGGTATTGAGGTTGATGGAATTTTTTCGCAACTGCTCATGGCAAGGGGGCATGCGACGGGATTGGGTGGACTGTTAAGAGACGCGCAAAAGAAGTAAGCATGCAGCGTGTAGATGGCGATCACATTACGTCTCCGCTACAGCTTTTTGAGTGGGCCAAACTTTCTTTCAAAAAATCAGTTTCGATTTCTGTACAGAAAAAGAACACGACTTGCATGCGCGAAAACTTCGTTCTCGTTTCGAAAAAGCGACGACTCTCAAAAACACGCGCCAGTACCACTTTTATCAACCTTTAGATGATAAAACAATTGTCGGCAAAATTTTTTCGGCAGATGATGTAAGCACACTCCATGAAGTTCTCTAAGATGTGACTAAATTTGTGGACCGATATTTTAAGTCTGAAGATAAACACGAATACACAATTAATTTCATTTCATGAGTTGTATTATTAATTTTTAGATAAAATGTGATTATTTGTTAACAGCACTCTTACATGACGTGTATTAGCACATGTAAATGCTACTTCTTTGTATCTACTCGTATGTACCATATATTAGAACGCACCAGAAAAGTAGCATTTACATATGCAAATACATATCGTGTAAGAGCGCTACAAGGAAAGTATATGTAAGAATGTAATTAATGTTTGATATATTCAATAAAACAACTATACGCCAATTAACTTTTTTTTATTTTTTGTTGGCAAAAACAAGCTTATCGTTCAGGAGGGGTGTGCGATGTCGCTGATGTCGTGAGGTGAGATGTGAGTCGCGCGACAAAACTTCGAATATTTTCAAACTCAAATAAGATCCCAAAGATTTTTTTTCACGATTTGGATACAATTTACATAAGAAGCATAAAAAAGTAAAAATATTGTTTTTAAGCAATTGAGAACATTTACAAAAACCACTTGTTTTTAACAACTGTTAAAAAAAATTAAAAAATAATATTTGCCGGCATTGAACATTTTATTTTCTCAAAGTTCATTAATTTCTCAGCAAACCCTGAAAATTTCAAGTCATTTGATTTTATAGTTTTTGTGTAATTAGTGTAAAAAGAAAAATTAACTATATTTTTTAGTTGCAAATAAAATAAAAATAAAAAATGTTTTCCAAAAACGACTCCATAAACCCTTTAGAGGATGTTTAAGACTACCTATTCCAATTCATATTAAAGATTTTTTCGTCATTGTAAAAAATCGAGTGACCACATCGCGAATTTCCACTCATATATAAGACCAATTATGTAGGGGAACTGAAACTTGGTTGCATAAATTGTAAATACCGTGCTTACGGTGAAAAGTGGTAGGTATTGGAAACGGAGGCGTGACACTTCCCATAAAAATCTTATATCGCTCTCCATTGTCCAACTCTCGCGGTCAAATACTTGAAAACGTTATAAATGAAGCGGAACTATGCATTTTGAATGACGGTAGGCCCCCGCATTTATCAACACATGGTACTTTAACACACTTAGATATCACATGCTGCACACCATATTTACTTCCATTTATCACATGGAACGTTTTAGAAGATGTTTATCACAGCGATCACTTCCCTGTAATATCCACAATAACCCTATCACAAACAAACAGTTTTTGTGAGATTTCGCAGAATGGGAAAAATTCAACCAATCTGTGGAATTTGAACTCGAATAGAGACCATATAGCTATAACCCGAATAAGGAAGCAAAAAATATCGCGAAAGGGGATAAATCCCGGGATTACTGAAAAAATATCCCGAAATCCCCGAATCGGGATAACAATTTTTCTCATATTTTGGCATTCCTAGTATGAACCCAGCAAACACATTTTTTATATTTTTTTTTACTTTTTTCGCCTTTTAAATTTTGGTGAGGTTTTTACGCACTATTTTATAACAAAACCATACTAGTCCCAAATTGATTGTAAAACCAAATTTAATAATGAAAAAACTAGTGTTTATTTTCGGATGAAAGTTTACTGGGTTTTTAAACTTTTTATGAAAAAAAAAATTTTGAAAAAATATTATTTTTGACTATACTCCTCATTAATGTTTTCTTGACCGTTTTTTTCTTCATTCAGCATCAACAGTTTCTCGTTGTAGTGATCAGCAATATTCTGAAATCACTTTTTTACCCAAGTGCACTTGTGCACAAGGGTATTATAACTTTATTCACATAACGGTTGTTTGTAACAGCCAAAAGGAATCGAGATAGATATTGACAAATGTATACATAAACAAGTAATTTTCAGCAAAAAAAGCCGTGATCCAATGATCGGATATAAACAAGATTGGTATGGGACACCTCTGAGACACTACCTTTCCGATGCAAAGAATTATCGAAATCGGTTGACGTGGTCCAAAGTTATGCGGTAACATACATAAAAAAAATATATTCCGACGAACTGATAACCTCCTTTTTTAGAAGTCGGTTAATGATCAGAATGAAAAAAAGAAATCGATTAAGCGATGACTGTCTGTCTGTCCGACCGTCCGTCTGTGCACACCATAACTCGAGTAAAATTTAAAATATTTTAACGAAACTTGGTATGTGTACTTACTTTCAGCGTAGGACGGATGGTAAAATGGGCAAAATCGGACAATAACCACGCCTACCTCCCATATAACGGTAGTTTTCAGAAATACGAAAACTGATATTTTGGTAACTAGTGAAGCTTATTCACACAAAATTGATATTTAAATGATTTTGAGACGAATAATAATAATAAAAATTTTTGGAAATGGGCGTAGCCACGCGCACTTATGATTACATCTGTATATCTCTGTAACTGCTCCACCAATTCCCCCAAACTTGGCACGGTTGTCGGCCTTATTATTATTGTTATTGTATTTTTTCCTCCGAGACGTTTTTTAATTGCAGCTATTTCTTGGTGAAAGTGTTCGCCTTACTCATCACTGAACTGACCCAAATTATGTAGAAAGAAGTCCAAATGCAAATGAAGGAAATTAATTTGTATGGTCATGTTTTGACTAGAGTGCACGCGCTCTTTTTAACCGACTTCCAAAAAAGGAGGAGGTTATCAGTTCGTCGGAATATTTTTTTTTGTTTTTTTTTTTATGTATGTTACCGCATAACTTTGGACCACGTCAAACCGATTTCGATAATTATTTTTGCAATAGAAAGGTAGTGTCTCAGAGGTGGTCCCATACTAATATGGTTTAGAACCGATTATTGGATCATGAAATATATATACATATATATATATATATTTTAAGTCGGTTTTTTTTTGCTAAAAATTACTTGTTTAACACCAATGCACGC